CGAATGCCACTTGCGTGCCCACCTAACTCAGCTAGCCACTTGCACGTATCACCTCCAATAGTCAGCCCCACACGGATGTGTTTTTTTCACCAAAAAAAAGGGAGAAAAGAGAACATGAATAATACGTTGATGAAGAATGACACAGTCAGAATGAAATACATCAGTGACCCTTAACTGATAACTTTTTGCTCTTTCTCAATCGAAGCGCAAGATCAAGTAAGATGGCTGAAATCTGCAAAGGCAGCTAGGAGATGCTGAGCCCCCTTCTACAACTGAGCTCCACCCATCCAGATCCTCGGGGGCAGAGCGGATCACCACTCGAGTTTCAGATGGTAGCGAGTGGCACAGAAAAAAGGGTGGTCATTTTGGAAAACACAACACGATCTTGAACGGGGGTAATGGGAGGAGTCGTGGACAAAAGGGAACCCCCGTTGCAAGCAATGGGTGTTTGCGGCCGGCACAACCTTTTTCTTTTTTTCTTAATTCTTCTCTCAAATTCTCTCAAAATCTTTCAAATCCACCTTTCACTACCTACTTGCCACTATTCCTAAGGCTACACAGGGGATCCCTGCAAGCACAGCCTTTTGCCTCTCACAATGAAAGGGGGGATGCATGTTGCCCCTTTCCCCAGTGCTTCTACGGTGCGCAGGGTTCAGGCCGTCAGCGGAGCCCCGAAACAAGGGGGGTGCGGCACAACCTTCGACATCCTTGTAGACTGAACGTATGAATTAGGACTCTCCAGGAAGTCATGCCCTGTTGAGAGGACACAGTTAAAACCACCAGCACTTGGCCCAGCTATCGGCCGCAGAAAAAAATAGAGTAGAAACATTTCTAGTCGGATGAATCTGGGCGCGACTGTAGTGGCCCGTGCGTTTCCTAAAATTGTGGTTTGTTAACGGGCACGACTTTAGGAAGTACTGGTGGTTTCCGAGCTTCTTTTTCCAAGGCGGATCTGTGCTGCGTGCCGAAAGAAAAGAAAAGAGAAACAAACCGGTGCAGTGGAATTTGTTTTCCCAGCCTATTTTTCCAAGGCGGATTTGTGCTACGCGCCGAACTGAACAGGCGAAGTGGATTTTTATCTTCGTAGCCCGATTTGTGCTAACAGAACCATTGATATTGACGAGTGAAGTGGAGGAACAATCCCCAAGGTGACGCAGCGCCACCATCACTGAGGGTCAAAGTTGCCTCGCTAGAGCCTACTGCCATGGCTGCCATACCTGCTGGCTGGTCGTAGCCGCCCATGATGGCCACAGTCGTGCATGGTGGCTGTGGCTCTGCCCATCATGCATGGATGGATGTGCACAGGCGCATGGGGGTGGGGAGTGGTCAATTGCGATACAGTATTTCTATCTAATATATATGACTTAAATCTGCCCAATGCCAAGAGACATGGCGCATATGCAGCCATGTCCGCACAAAGTCGTTAGTAGATGTATCGAGGACAGAGGTAATCTCGATGGACCATCGAGTTCAACACCTCAGCACAGACATGGCAAACCTGGGAGGGACTAAACTTCACTAAATGGGTATATGGTGAAACTGGGATAAAAGCTCTCCTCCCCAAGGATGCCTTCGGCTCCACTCTGGCGATAGACCAGATGCAAAGCGCGTGCTCGAGTACAAAACAAATGCAGGTGCTGCCTTCAGCCATTGGCTAAGGTTAAGTTCCAGTGGGTTGGACTCGACTTGTTCATGCTATGATGCCATGAATCATTGTTTTCGTTCAAGGGTTATTGCTTATTATTCTAATAGTAGCCAATCAGGTTATATGGTATTCGCTTGTGCTATCTCCAATTATTCTGCGAGTGTATTTTATCTGATAAACCAAACCCCTACAGCCTTGGCCAGGCAACTTCAAGATTCGAAAATGCAACATACATTCAACATTCCATTCCAGGAGGGTTCTCCGGCGGCTGGGCAGTACCGGACCGCAATGGCTGGTGGGACCAGCCACGAGGGAAAAACAAAACGCCGCACTCATGCTTCCGCAAATTTTGGCACGCAGGGGAAAAAATCCACCTCGATGAAAACGCGGCTCAGGGGTAGTGGTGATTTAAGCTAGGAACAGTGTGTTATTTTTTCTGCAAATGAGTTTTCTGTATGGCATAAGGTTGGATTGTCTGCTTCTCTGACATCTCTCGTAATCAGGAAAGAAGCTTCACCCTCACAGACTTGCAGAGCTCATAGTTTCGTATGAGATGGATGCTGATCCTGGTTGCTGGTGATGCTCTCCAGCAAAAGATGGAACCGCACCAGAGCTATATGGGCCGGGGGCATACATGAAACTCCTGGGTAATCCAAGAACAGCAGGCTGACCAAAAACCCAAAACGTTTTCAGCATTGAACACCCCCCGGTTCACCCAAAGGACATTACTGCTCTTGCTGGTTTTCACACGGTAAGTGATTTTTGATTCAGGCCTGCACCGGAGGCAAACGCGGCAGCGCAGGCCACTTTGAAAAGGCACGGTGGCAGGCTCGCAAGCCTTGGAAGGTAGCTTCGTCAACCTCGCCTCATGTGAACTGGCGGCATGCGCAGGTGGTTGGCCGCAAATTCCGAGATGATCTATTCCGCGCTGGAGCAAGCCTAATGTTTGTCAGTCCGCAAGGGAATAAACAGTCCGACGACACGAGTGCACGCTGGGACCCAGCTGCGCAGCAGGCTGGCACGGTTGGCTCAGGCGGGCGAGGACCCTGGTGGGGGCAGGCACCTCCACCCATCATAACTTCCAACTCGAATTTGAAAAGATAGAAATATACTGATCATTTATTGAAGTTGAACGTCAAGGTTATACAGAGACATGTGTGAAATGCACCAAGAACTTCAGCTAAGCAAAAAAAAAAACACAAAAAGAAAACAACAACAACAACGGAAAATCCTTGGACCTAAGGAGAGAGTGCTGCAGGAGAATAGAGCATCCTGCTGAAGGGCTGCAGGAGTGTCTGCTTGGTGTAGCGAAGAATTGCACGTCCAGGATGTTTGTCATGGTGGATTTGACAAGTGGTTAATTGGCGATTGGAGCGGGGTGTCCAAGAATGACGGATTGGCATGCAGTATTTTGAAGGCCGAGGTCTGCAACGAAGAGGGTTGACGGGGGTAATTCGTGCGAGCGAAGTGATCTTGAAGTCATGTGTTTTTTCGTTTGGCTGCCGCAGTTTATGTGTGATGAAGACTGTATTTGTTGAAGGGGTGTGGAAAGCGACAAGCTGGTGTAGTGGAAGTACCTGCATGCCAGAGACTCTACAAGCGAAAGCTCAAGTGGTTCGCTCAGCGAGTGGAGTGCGAAGCGGCAATGCCGGATTGGTGTTGCATAGCACAGCATGCCAGGTAGTATACATACATGTGCATTCATCAATTCTCAGTTTATAGCTTTATAGCCAGTTTGCCGCCTCATGCCCTCCTCAGTGAGCCTAGCATTGCTTCGAGCGGCATCAGAATTTGAACTCTTGACCTGGTGGTCTCCGGCGCAGGGCATGTGCCACTCAATCGCCTAAGATGACTCGTACATACTTGGCCACTATCGCCGTGTCTAGGCTGCAAGTTGTCCCGGATAAAGCCTTAATGGACACAGTTGCCAGAGCATAGGTCCACAGGACAGAGAAGGATCGTGGTTTGAGGGCACCAGTTAGATCCTGGACAGGATGTCGTTTCATTCTTCTGCTACGGGCTCCCGAAATAAAAGGGCCGTAGACAGAGTGTCCACAGCATACAGAGAAGGATCGTGGTCTTGGGCACCAATTAGGTCCAAAACGGGATTTCATTGTATTCTTTTACTCCAGGCTACTTGATTTCATTGTATTCTTTTACTCCAGGCTCCCTACACAAGTAGTCCATGAAATCTGGGTTCGGTAGGCGAGGGAAGGGAGAAAAGAGCGCCGGAAAGGAGAGGGAGGGAGCTGTAGAAGTCGGTACAGTCGCAGAATGATGACCCAATTCGGCTTGTCCCGAGCGCGGCCAAGAACCGTAGGGACAGTCTTGCATAAGCCAGAAACTGCCATGAGCAGTGCAAAAGAGACTTAAGACTGCACCACGAGTACCTCGGAGCCCCACTTTCCTGCTGCACGATTCTCTGACCACCCCTAGACCGCCAAGCCGTCATGGGGGCCACAACCGATGGGGGCAGGCATATCCATTCGCATTTGCAAAGGAACTGTTTGGCCAGGCAATTTCTTTTCTCTTTTTCCGAGTATTTTTCCCTTACGCTTCTCCTTTTCCGAGTATTTTTCCCTTACGCTTCGGCGCATGCTTTCCATCAATTGGCAACACCAACAGCACCGCAGGTCATATTCTCTACAGCCTGAGGCACAGGCACCTGACAGAAGCAACAACTAGGGTAGCATAGCTCACGACTACACACACAAAATGACTTTTCAGACTTATCTGTGGACGCAATTGTGGTCAGGTGCATCCAGGCATGACTGCAAAGTGGTCAGATACACCCAGGAAAGTCGTCGTGTGAGTATGACCCCACCGGCACCCAATGCCATACCTAAGTCTGGAACACCAACCCAAAGGCGGCCTTGGCTGGCAATGAAGTCAAGGGGACAACGGCAGACACGTCCAAATGCTGGAAATGCCCGCAATAGGAGCAAAGAAGAGGACCAACGAGCCTGGCTCAGCTGGTACATCCATGAACCGTTGAAACACAGAGGACGTGAGTTCGGATCCTGCAGGACCTTGATGAATGGAATAAATCATTCTGAATTACCTAGGGCCGATCTGATCAGTGAATAAATCATTGGACTGACTGGCTGCAGGTCAGAATTACTTTATTCTGTTCGTCTGGTTGCATCCGGATGTGAACTTGGGTCTGTATTTCAACAGTTCATGGGTGTACCGACTGAGCTTCGCCCGTTGATTACTTGAAAGTTGATACTCGTTTACTCTCTAGAACATGTCCCTTGCACACCCATGAGATATCCCTCTTTTAGCTCCGTATATCAATTTGAAGCACATGTTAGACATTCCCATATTAGAAGGTCCATTCACACCGTGAATCCAATCTTTTCTCATTTCGGACATAAGAGACTGGGACTTGAAACCATCTCACAGCATGCACAACGAAAGACCGGGCGGTAAGGAGTCACTTCAACACCCCGCAAAAAGACAAATGAATGACCTGACCTTAAACTTCTCAAAAGAATCTGAATACAGGAACACGACCACTTGAAGAAGGCAACAAGAAAAGTTGTGCACAGCACACGACCCTCCGCTTGGTCGTGGGGGCTGCTGCTCACCTCNCCCCTCTCTCTCTCTCTCTCTCTCTCTCTCTCTCTCTCTCTCTCTCTCTCTCTCTCTCTTCGCCACCTTCACTACGCCCTACTCTACAGGTCAAGACATCTAATCAACCAGTCGACAACAAGCTGGGCTGCCTAGACGCTCTGTCCACAGCACCAGCCAAAAGAGAACAACAAGCAAACCGTCCCCATTGCAACACTGATCAACTCCACACCACAAGTCTCTCTCTCTCACTCTTCAACTAATAGTGTACGCTTGTGAGTAATATCAAACAATCTCCAGATGACTAGCAAGGGACTGGGACTGCCTTGGTGCATCAACATGCAAAATACTCGTTCCCTCCATAGTTGACATTTCAAACGAGCGTGGCTGAAAAGAGCACCACTCAGCCATGCACGGTAGAGAAACAAGGACCAGCCAACTCGGCCGCACACCAAGAGGGCTACGCACATCTTTGTCATTGACAGATGACACACAGAACATTGCCGTACTGCTGAACACATCATAATTATATGCCCCATAACCAAGCAATTCCCCCTCGCACAGCGACGCAGCTTTCCATGCAAAAGAGATACATACATGATGACCCCATTCACACAAGGGGAGGCAAACCTGCAACCAGCGCATAGCCTTCCGTCCTTCCCTGTCCCTGATAGGAACAACTATCTGGCCAGTTCTGCCTCGTAGCACACAGGCAAGGTTGGTTTGCAGTCATACTTGCTAGTCACCCACCCGTATCAAAACTGCTATACCGTGTACCTGTCCTTTGCTCGCTTGTCAAGTTTCTTTGCATCCTCCTGCACAAAAAAAAAGAAAAAGAGAAAACAGAAGAGGAAAACCAAGACGATCATCAATCGAGATATAAAGCACACGATCGAGATTATTCCCGGATATAAAAAAAAACATTGCAACTGCTGACAAAACAGATTATCATAAATCATCAATCCTACTGGATTCACATAGACTTGGACTTCAAAAGCAGACTTCGGAAAGAGATCAGGAAGGTTACGACAGGAGAACGACAAGATGAAGCAACAAAGAAAGAAGCGCAAGAGAAAGAAAATGATTCACTTCCACTAGAGCAATGAAACAATGACTCGCTCAACAAGAAGTTATCCATTCACAGTTTGTTAAATAAGCCCAGACTTTGTTATTCAACTGCGTAGGGAGAGTTCTGAAGGTCCATTCATGTCAAGACGGCCGTAACTTGGTGCGGTCAGATGAGCATTTCATTGATCATCACCGTCCGCATAAGCAGAAGCAGTACAGACCACACCCTCAAAGGTGGACAGTTGAGGATGAATAGATAGGACTTCGTGTTGACAGCAACTATCAGCGACACCCATACTGAACGCTTTACGGCTTTCCCTGTGAACCTGACATCTAAACACCATAATGATGCATTCTATCTCTATCCCCTCTCCTTTGGATTTCACCATGAACCTGATGTACTAGTGCGTTTGCCAAAACTCTTCTTAGTGCAAAAGCCTAAGAGTTGGCCACAATTCTATGGCTCAAGAAAAATCACGTCATCCCATTGGAGGCGGCAACCTGCTTTCATAATTACGCTTTCCTGATGGGCGGGACTGATTCATTCATTAACCTATCTGCAAGCTCATGTCCTTCTCCCCGAAGCAAATCCTTGGGAGCTATTGCGCTTCCCTAGCCTGAAGCATCAACCCGAAAGTGCTGGACCTACTGGGTCCGGCGGACACGTGCTTTTTTATTCGCTGCAAGAGTATGCATACATCTCTTTTTTTTTTTGAGAAGTCTTGCCAAAAGTTATGAGCTTGAAAAAAATCGCCCAAATCGTCAGCACTGCCACCGCCACCTCCCATCAGACTGGGCAATGACCAGCGTGGCCTGGTGAGATACATGAATCCACCTGCAAAGGATGTCATAGATCAGTGGCTCAAATGCGGCTTTGTCACGGTATGGCTTTCTTCATCGTGTCAGAATTTGGTTTTTATAGCTTTTCTTCAGGCTTTCTGTTATTCAATCTGGAGCCCACAGCAGAAATTGGAGATATAGTGTCTATACCTCCGCATTTTTGGGGATGCATTGGGAGAAACGTTGTTCGGACCTCTTTACTCTGGCCCATACGAACAGTCGTCTTGTGACCAAAGACCATCAATAACGTTCTCCGTTTTCATCCCAAGGCACAATAATGAATATCAGTGAGAAGAAACAACAATTACTTGCACAGAGCTCGTCTGTCCTCAATGGTGCAGACCATACAAACAATCAAAACATGAAACGACCATGCTCATCTTCAATTGGTCACTCTCTCTCTCTCTCTCTCTCTCTCTCTCTCTCTCTCTCTCTCTCTCTCTCTCTCTCTCTCTCTCTCNCTCTCTCTCTCTCTCTCTCTCTCTCTCTCTCTCTCTCTCTCTCTCTCTCTCTCTCTCTCTCTCTCTCTCTCTCTCTCTCTCTCTCTCAGAGTCTCACTCTCTCTCTCTCTCTCTCTCTCTCTCTCTCTCTCTCTCTCTCTCTCTCTCTCTCTCTCTCTCTCTCTCTCTCCCCCATTCCTTCCTGTATCTGTAAGCGTGATGCACCTGATGCTTGGTCATAGTCCTGTTGCAAGCGTGACCCATCTAAACAAATGAGCCTCAGAGCTTTAGGCACAACTGGGCCAAGCGCAGCTGTCTGCAACACTGATCAGCCAAACCATCACCTTTGAGCAAAATGGGGCATTGAGAAAAAAGAAAATAGGTTTGACACTACTTACATGAGCCACATAGCCGATTTTGATCTGGTCTCCAAAGTCCAAGACCTCCTTCCACTGTCTTCCAATGCTCAACTGAGGAACAACGGTCAAAACAACGAAGCAGGCCAATTAGGTGAAATGTCGCAAGGTCCGAGCTGTCGCAAGAGTGTTCCCACAGAACCAAACGGTACCAACAACGCCCCTTAACATCTCTCACCAAATCTTTCCATGACACTCACTCACAAAAATGTCAAAAAAGTCACAAAAGAAAAGTGCCAAAGAAAAAAGCAGCCAGAAAGAAAACTGTTCGGACAATGGAAGGGCCACACATACCTGTGCTGCCTCATTCGACGCTGTCTTCGTCCAGATCGCAATCCGATCTTGTTTTACCCGAACGCTTACGACAGACCCGCAAACCTCTTCTCCATCACTAAACTGCTCACCAATCATCGCTAACAACTGCACACACAACAAGTCATGTGACTCAGCAAACAATCCTTCCTTTCTTTCCTTCACTTAAATCATACGTAAAACGAGTACGATCCACAACATTACACCATGGATTCAACAGATTTTGGACTCGTCCCTGATAGGTCAACACTCGGGTGCATAGCAATGTATACAATACTCCTCTGAGATAACAAAATACGCGTACTTCGGTCTCCACCTACTATTTGTACAGCATTTACTAGTTAGTAGCCAAGACCCTCTTCGCAAAACAAAACAGAGTCCATAAAAATTGCTCACCTCCAGCCCTGGATGCCACACATTTACAGATAGAACCCCAAACGTTTGATAGGAACTGAGCCTGTACTACAGTTGCCTCTTTGCGTAAACTGAGCCCATAATAGTCACGTCCGATGCAAAGAACCCTTGCTACAGTATTTGAACAACAATACTAAAGGGAGGACGCATTTCAGATGGGCCCTTCATAGCTGCCCACCGTTTTTTTGGCCTCCAGTTCTTCTTCTAGTGATGCCAGGCCAATATGAGAAGCGGATTCCATACAAAACAAGAAAGCCCTACTGTAGAAGCGGGTTCCATACAAAACAAAAAATACATCGTTTTCATGTTGTCTCCTGTCACAAAAGAAAGCCCTACTGCAGACTTTCCCGTTTGTTATCGTGGAGTTGGACACGGGCCCTAGAAGACAGAAAGGGCAGCCATGCAGCCATGTCAGCGAGCACCAGTACAACAACATAGGCTCCAGCCGTGCAGCCATGTTGGCAGGCAGCATGACAGGTAGCAGCAACCCAAGCAAGGCGGGTGGGCAGGCAGGCGGCAAAAGATGAAACATCAAAATAACAACGTAGGAGAGCAGGCAGGCGACGCAGATGGAAACACCGACAGCAAGGCGACAAAGTAGGCTCAAAAGAAAGACGAACCAAAAAAGGAAAAAAAAAAAAAAAACAGAACAAGGTAGGCTGTGGCGTTGAAGTTGAAGGGAGAAGAGCTCACTGTATGAAGCCAGTAGGTGTCCAGCGTCGTTGGTCTTCCCTTTGGCACTTGGGCGTTCCATCTACCTCCGCCGCTACACTTTGGGTCCTCCCACTTGGGCTCAATTCCCTTCTTGAAACAGTGGAAGTCGGCACCGTGAATTAGGCGACTTGGTTGAACAACATTGTTAAACAAGCTAGATAGAGGCAGACACACACATCACACCATCGACCAGAAACCACAGAAATTAGTCAAAAGAAAACAAACAGCAGTCCCTCTGCTCGCAACCTTTCCCCCTTCATCTGCAACTTTCAAACTTCTTCGTGAAGGGTTCAGCAACACTGACCCACTCCAAGTCTACAGGTCTTCCCCCGACTTAAATATAAGTTCATTATATTGCTGTATTTGGGGCGACTTCCAGTCCTGATACCACGATATCGACTGTGTAAGGTCATCCTATCTGTATTTGGAGCACTTACAGTCTGACACCGGGATATTGACCATACGAGTTCTATTCGGGGGAGGTCAACAGTTCGAACACAGGAGAGGCAATCCTCCTCCCTCACGCATCCCAGCAATCGATGGATCCATTTCTACCACGACTCACTCTAATTCTATTTTGTCCAAAGTTGAAGGTCACAGGTTCGATTCTGTCACCTGTGATTGCAAGTGGGATGCTGAATTCTTCAGGAGAGTGGCCGCATGGTTAAAGGCAGCGACAGACTGTGCACACTTGCAATCCCAGTGCTTCTCCTCCGGAGTTGGACATTATGGAAAGCAAGATGCTCACTTAACAGGGGAAAAAAAAGAAGATTTGAACTCTCTCAAAAGTACACGAAATTAGAGAACTGACAGAATTCTTATTCGGAGTACAAAAAACTCACCTGAACGAACGGGCAAAAGAACCAAAAAAAAATGTCATCTTCTTCTCTTAAGCTTCCTAAGACAGACAAAATCCTTAAACCACCAGTACATTCGACCAAGCAGATTGTACATTCGACCAAGCAGATTGCGCCTGTCCTAAAATTCGGAGGCCATGGATCGACAATAAAATACCCTCACCAGTACATTCGCCTGGAGAAATCTTCCTTGCAGAGAAACTCAGTCTGTCCTAAAATTCGGAGGCCATGGATCGACAATAAGCCACGCACTGGAGTATTTTGACATGACAAGACCAGCCCAGACCAGAGGATGCACATGGCATTAATTAATTCCATTATCTGAAACTCTCTCCGTCAACTTCAAGTCCATCAGATCCATCGAGCCCATCAAATCCATCAAGTCCAAGTCCAGAGCCACAAGCGGTACGACGAGACAATGCTGACACGACCGGCAAGGCTTGTCGAGAAGGCGAAAGAAAGTGCTCTGTTTAGCTACCGTCTTCATCCGAGCAGAACGTACCTATCGTTTTCGCTGAAGACCTTAAAGTTGTGACCTTAAAGTTGTGCTCAATACAGGCAGAACGACCGTACGTTTCATTCAGGGAAAGACGGTAATCAACAGCACAGTTGCCAAGTGAGTTGCCTTGCTCAAAAGAAGGGAATGACACCTCAAATGCGTCCCCGTGACAGAGGACAAAGGATCGCAGAATGCTGAAAACCTCTGCAATTCCATCCGGCTCAATCTTGCCCATCTAGGAGAGACAGGGAGTGAGCTTGCTGATCATAGCCATTCTGGCCCTCATCAAGGGGTGACGATGATTCTCCTCGTTCATCGCAAAGATGATTCTGTTCGAGGGTGGTTGGAAGGTCAATCCTTCCTGATTTGGGAAGCAATCAATACCTCCTACCCTGTTTTGTATAGAGTTTCTGTTCAAGGATGGTTGGGACGCCAATCCTTCCTGATTTGGGAAGCAGTCAACACCTCCTACTCTGGCCCAGTTTCATGTAAAGCAACGCCGGGCCCGGTTCCCAGCACATGCTGCTCCCCACGAATGGAACGCCGCCATCATTACCGGCGGACCTTCAATTAGGCTGCCGTCTTACCCCCGAACACAACGCACCCTCATTGTCAATATATCGGACCGAGAGATCGCTCGGATACATTCACATTCAGGGTGGGTTATGTACATTCACATTCAGGGTGAGTTATGTACATTCACATTCAGAGTGAGTTATGTTCGGGGGAAGACGGTACGGCTCTTACCCCTTGCTTGATGGAAGGCCGCCCTTGGTGACCGGAACCGTGATAAGGAGGGAAGGAGGGAGGGGGGGAGGGAGGGAAGTAGGGAGGGAAGGAAAGGAAGGGAGGAAGGGAGAGGGAGGGAGAGAGGGAGGGAGAGGGAGGGCTAAAAGCTAGAGACGCGATGCGCAGCAGGGGAAAGAAAGGACGAACAGGATCAAGGCGAGAGGTGGACTGAAGAGAGAGACAGGCGGCCAGCTTTGATCAAAGAATTCAACAGAGGGAGGAAATCCGGATTAGGGGGAAAATCCAGAGACACAGTTCGCAGCAGGGGAGAAAAAGGACGAACACGGGGGACGAACCGGATCAAGGCGAGAGGTGGACCGAAGAGAGAGAGAGAGAGAGAGAGAGAGAGAGAGAGAGANAGAGAGAGAGAGAGAGAGAGAGAGAGAGAGAGAGAGAGAGAGAGAGAGAGAGAGAGAGAGAGAAACGGCCGGCCAGCTTTGATCGAAAAATTGAACAGAGGGAAGAAATCCGGATTAGGGCTGAAAATTAGAGACAGTGCGCAACAGAGGGAAGAAAAATGACGAGCAGAACCATGCAGAGAGTACAACAAATTTCGAAAAACAGGCGGGAGAAAATGAGAGGGAGCAGAAAATCGAACAAAAAAGGACGTGGAAGGAATACATCAAGTCAGAGCGATAACATGGCGCAGGGGAGCTACCGATCCTCCCCCGAACACAACGCACCCTGATTATGAATGTATACAAACCGTCTTTCCGGTCAAGTACAGTCATGACGAGGGTGCGTTGTGTTCGGGAGACTACGGTAGTCAATGGGCAGAGCACGCTGGTGAGGAGGAGCTGCAATGGCGCAGATCACGAAGAGGGTAAGGACAGGCAGCGAAGGGTACAATTAGCAGAGTGAAAGAGAAACGGTACCGTCTTCCCCCCAACACAACGCACCGTCATTATGACTGTACCGAACCAGAAGATCGGTTAGATACATTCATTATCGGCGTGCGTCATGTTCGGCGGAAGATGGTAGTAAGGGTCCGTGTAATACTCCTTTGGTCAAGTACCAGTCAGCTGCCTACTGCCGCTATTTGGGCATCTCGTGAACCGAAATGGGCAGGCCCTACCGGGTTCCCGCCAAAAACCGTATTGGACCGTATTGGTTTCTTTTTGGACCGTATTGGTTTCTTTTTGGACCATATTGGTTTCTTTTTGGACCGTATTGGTTTCTACGAAATTCTAAATTTGTTTTATTTTATTTTATTTTTTTTTCCCGGAGGAGGAGGGCCGCGTCGCACTCTGCTGCAGTGCAATACAGAGGCAACGCTGGAGGGGTCGAGCAGGCAAGCCTACCCATATGACCCCTGCGTAGCCCAGAAAAATTAATTTAATATCGTGTAGCCCGATGGACCATGATCAGAACAGATACTACACTTGATCTTAGCCAAAAGGCCGAGAAAGGTATTAAAATGGGTACTCCTTATGACCGTATTGGTTTCTTTTTTCATCAATTTAGGTGAACGCCCCTAAGTTAGAGAAAAGGCGAACCGATTTAGAATTTCGTAGAAGCAACCTTCTTGCACCTGTAGACTGGAATCGCGCGCGTATAGTCCAAGCGTTTTAGATTCTTGTAGATTCTACAAGAATCTAAAACGCTTGGACTACACGCGCGATTCCAATCGTTTTACGACGGCGACCCGATTTAGATTCTTGTAGAAGAAGCTTCATCGAACAGTAGATTAGAATCGGACATCTTGTGAACCGATAAGGAAGACCGGTATTCTATAAATAAATTTGGACGGAACACCGGAGCAATTTAGACAGACGAGAGCATAAATTGGCGGGCCCCACAGAAAATCGTGCGTCTCTCGCGTGTGTGCTGCGTGCATCCACCTAGGTCCGGCTACCCACGTGCATTCACTCCCGCGTATGATGCGTGCATTCTTCAACGTGCATTCATTCACTCCCGCGGAGCATCGACGCACGTGCTTTGTGCGTTCACGTGTGCCTGGCTCTCTGGTCTTGCACGAGGGTGATCTTCTGTGTCCAAACGGCGATGTCCGTTAGAGGCAAGAGAGCCAGGTACAACTGCATCGACGATGTTCAAAGGTGATTTTTCGTTGAATGCAAAACGATTGCAGACACTGCAGTGCGCTATGGGGTTCCACGCACTACTGTGCACAACATTGTTATCGCGCTCGAAGCTAATGGCACAGAGACAACCGAGAGGAGAGGAGGAAGGAATATGTTTCCTGTT